AACTGTAACCCTCTGTATAGTATCTTTACAATAAAAAAAAAAAGAAAAAGAAATGGCGAAAGGAAAAAAAAAAAGGTTGAGGTGGGGTTAAGGGAAGGAGGACAGCAAGGAAGACAGAAAGGGTGGGAGAAGGCAGTCATAAAACTCTATGACTATGCTACCAAACTAAGAAAACTGATGGAAGGGGAGGGTAGAGAAGGGACGGGGAAAGGATGGGAGGGGTAACATTGGTCAAGATGTGCTATATGCACCACCTGCTTTGTTGAATGGCAACCCTTTTGTGCAGCTATTTACAGATAACAAAAATGTAGGGTTTTTTGAGATCTATAATCACTTATATTTAAACATATTTTTAAAAAGGCTGTGTTGTGTTTTATTTATACTGCAAAACAGACATTTCTCAAATGAAAACACACACTGGGTTCAAAAGAGGAGATAGTTAGCAGCAGAGCTAATCACTGTTCACCTGCCTGGGAACCTCTGTCCTCCCCTGGTCCATCACCAGCCTGGGAACCTCTGTCCTCTCCTGGTCCATTACCAGCCTGGGAACCCCTGTCCTTCCCAGGTCCATCACAGGGCTGGTGAGCGAGAGCTCTCCACCAGCCACTCCCATGGTCTTGAGCCCCTCCTGTCCCTTCCAGGCAGGAGCAGTACTTACAGGCTGGATGAGGTCCTTCTCCTTGAAGGGCACGCCGCCCACCGTGAGGTTCAGGTGATAGAGACCTCGATCCTGCTGGAACAGCTCCCCAGCCACAGCAATCTTCATGACCGCATCCTTGTTCACTTTGATCACCAGATTCCGCTCCAGCTCCTCAACAGAGATCTGAAGGAGACCTGTTTGTGAGCACAGGTGACAGAGGCGCCCTCTCCTCCAACTGGTGAAGGCTGGGTCCATGTCACCTGGGCCAGAGGCACTGACCGAAGGAGAGACCAGGTGTCATCACCACTGTCTAGGAGGTGCCCAATGTCATGAGACCACAGCTATTGCCACTCATGTCCACAATGCTCTAACCGCATTAGACCATAGCCACAGCCACCCACTACCACGAGGCCCCAACCCCATGAGACCACAGATACTGCCACTCATGTCCACACACTCCAACCCCATTAGACCACAGCCATGGCCACCCGCGACCATGAGGGCCCTGAACTCACAGGCTGTGCTTAGCCTCATCTGCAATGGGTATCTGCACCCTAGTGTTAGGTACAGGAGGCTGTGCTGACCACCACTGCAGTTCTTCTGAGGTCAGTCAGGGCTGTGAACATGAAGACCTCTCCCTCCAGTTTAAATGCTGTCTTCCCAGCACATGTGAGATAATTAACACATCACAGAAGGCTTCCATGGAAAGGTTCACCATCACGTCACCAGTGTATGTGATGCCCACATGTTCTTTGAGGAGAAACCGAAGTAGACCATCCACTGAGGCTGCATACAGTCAGGCTTCAGCCCAAAATCTAGCCCCGGCCTATCTCATCTACTCCATACATCTTCAGTAAAGCAGCCCATGGGACTTGCTCACTGTCCCTTTCTGAGGGGACTGTTCTCAGTCTATGGTTCTGGACTGTGGCTGGGAGCACATTCCTGTAGTGGCCAATACAGCTATGCAGGAACTACTCAGACCACAGGGTGAAACAGCACTGACATCAAAGCTGGAAGTCAAGTTGTGCCCCCAAGCAAGCCCGGTGTTTGAGCCCTTCTTACTGTACGATGTAGCACAAATGCAGAGATGTTCATGAGCACACATTGTTCCCGGGACCTTTATGCAGCTAGCAGTCATCTCAATCCCCCAGGGTTCTTCCCAAGACCCCTTTGCCCCTGCTCTCCTTTAGAGATTGCTCACCAAGCTAAGACTCCCTGAACAAACAGGCTTTTTCCCTCCAGTTCTAACCACGGCAAGCACAGCCGTGTGCTCAGCTATCAGTGCAGGCCTCGCTCCAACCACTTCCCGGAGGTGCTGTCATGAGCGGCTGTGTTGAATCACACCTCGGGTGAGGATGTCGCTGTCTAGACAGGCACTGTGGCCACGGGTGTCCTGTCTTTCACAGCGCTAACTTCCCACCACACGCTAAACACTGTGCTCAAAGATGTTTGTAGACATAATGGCAGGTCCAGAATTCTGCTCTTCCTTTACAGACTTACTTTATCTGCTCTATGGCTACTGAGGGGGTAGCACCCGGCCACCACCGTCCAGCTCAGGCTCTTTTGTGACCCTGTAGACAGACTGAGGTTGGGCCAGACCCTCAGGAGGTGACAAGCACAGGGCTCTGCTCCCCTCTCATGGGAATGATCCCCTCACACAGACGTGCTCCCCTTACACAGACGTGCTCCCCTCATACGGGCCTGCTCCCCTCATACAGGCATGTTCCCCTCACACAGGCATGCTCAGGGGCAGTAGTGCCAAGCACTGCTTGCTCTCAGCCACATGGCCTGACTGCTTCCTTCTGCCCCTGGGTATTACTGGCACTTTTTCTACAGTGCCTAGCATCTTCTCACCTTCTCTGACTGGACTCTAGCTCCCTCCATCATTTCCCAGTTTGAGTTCCTCATGTCTCTCTCAAGACAGATTACCTTGCTTAGAGACTGGGGAGCACCCAGTACACCCAAGACCAGGAGCAAGGTGTACATCCAAGACCAAGAGCAAGGTGTACAGCCAACACCAGGAGCAAGGTGCATGTCCAAGACTAAAATCAAGGTGTACATCCAAGACCAAGAGCAAAGTGTACGTCCAAGACCAAAAGCAAAGTGCATGTCCAAGACGAAAAGCAAAGTGCATGTCCAAGACCAACAGCAAGGAGTATGTCCAAGACCAAGAGCAACGTGTATGTCCAAGACCAAGAAAGAGCAAGGTACACATCCAAGACCAGGAGCAAGGTGTACATCCAAGACCAAGAGCAAGGTGTATGTCCAAGACCAAGAGCAAGGTGTATGTCCAAGACCAAGAAAGAGCAAGGTGTACATCCAAGACCAGGAGCAAGGAGTACATCCAAGACCAAGAGCAAGGTGCATGTCCAAGACCAAGAGTAAGGTGTACATCCAAGACCAAGAAAGAGCAAGATGTACATCCAAGACCAAGAGCAAGGTATACGTCCAAGACCAAGAAAGAGCAAGGTGTATATCCAAGACCAAGCACCTGCCATCTGGACAGGCTGTGGCTGTGTCCTCTGGGACCCTGTGTGGTCTCACCCTGGCTCTACAGGGCCAGAGGCCAAAGCCCAGGGCAGTACCCCTGCTAAAATTTGGAGATCACAGAGAAAAGCTTGGTAGAACTTCTACCGAGCCCATGGGTCTTCTCGGGGCTGATGACCCATAGTTCCCACACAAGGTCTTTGGGAGGAAAAGCTACCAAGGGTATAAGGCAGCATCCTGAAGCTCAGCACTGGCCTTGAGGGCATCCAGTAACCAGCACGTGGTGTCTTCCCTAGGAGTGGCTGCCATCAAGTCTGGAGATGTGTCCCAAATGCCCAAGTCATGGAGAGCCCTGAGCACGGCACTCACCGTCTGCCACATGCCGTGATTGATGACTGGCCCGCTACTGGTGATGCGGCTGACACCGTTGTAACGTAGCTGCAGCTCCAGCCGCCCAGCCCTCAGACCCAGGACCACCCAGTTGCTGTCCAAATGGCCTCCAGCAAAAAGGAGGATCCCTTCAGGGTCAAAGGTCCGGAAGTCAAACTCAGCCACCAGCCTGAGAACAGAACCAAGAAATAAACCAGCACAGGCAGCCAGAGCTGGGCACGAGTCCATGGTGCGGGGCTGCCCAGTACTAGACTTCAGCACCCAGGACTCTTTCCAGAACACGGGTGCCTATCTGGGGGTGCTGGAGACTACTGCAGGCTGCATCCATGCCCAGGCTGCCGTGGCTCTGACCACAGGATCCAGCACACCTCTGGCTCTCTGGCACCTGCTCACCTGGTAGGCTGCAGCCTCTTGAAACGAAGTCTGATCACAGGAGTTGCGCTGAACATGCGGCCAAGGTACAAGGACTTCATGCTCTTGGCCATGCTGAAGGGCACGCAAGGCAAAATGTCCTGCCAGACAGGATAGAGGGTTAGGAGGGGTGTCCTGTGGCCCCTCTCATCTAATCTTAAGACCCTGGCTGCTTAGGGGAGGTCATCTGACCAGCTGGTGTTCTGGGTGGCATGACTGCCCACCCCACCTGATTGCCCTGAAATCCTAGTCTGGTACAACCAAAGGCAGGTGTCAGGCGTTGGGCCTCTGGGCAGAGGACCAAGATTTCAAGGTCATGGTCAGCACACCTGAAGAGCTGTCCTGTGGCATTCCCTTGCCTCTTCTTACCAATGCCCACGAGTGTTTGTTTTCTAAATTAGGAAATGCTACAGAGTAGAGAAAATCCTAAAAACCAACTGTCTTGATCACCAAGGTCCGAGAATGTTCCCTGCTCTCTCCGGTTGCCCTGAGGTAGAAGGGGACCAAAGCAGGTGTAGCTGACCTTCCGGGACAGCAAATGGTAGAGGAGTCCTTCTGCGCCCACACCAACCAGGTGGGCACTGAAGCAAGGGCTGCTCTGGTGTCCCTCCCACCCTGCAGCCCTGGCATGACAACACCCCCCGGGGGGGGGGCAGAGCAGCCAGTGCCCAGCAGGCCAGGCTGGGAACACTGGGAACACTACAGCTGCACCCACTGTGCACCTCCACATGGGTCTCACGCATGGGCCTCACACGTGGGGCTGTACCATGACCAGCTGATGGGGGAGTCTGGTCCCTGAGGAGATTTCATGAACACAAACAATGACCTCAGAATCCCAAAGCCTCACGTCTGGAAGGGTGTCTCCCACAAACCCTGCAATGGTGAGGGGTCTTGTGCAGAGGCTGAGAACGGTCCCTGTAAGGTGCAGGCAGTCCACCCACCTCACATGTGTCCATGTCTGGGGACAGCTTGAGGCCCCCGCGCCCGTCGCAGTGGCAGGTGTAGCTGCCGGGGGAGTTGACACAGGTCTGCTCGCAGCGTCCTTGCTGGCACTCATCCACATCTGCCAGGCAGAGGGGGGCACAGTGGGCGCCACGCACCATCCACCAAGGGAAAGTCAACGTCCACGGTGGGAATGTGGCTTGAAAGCATCTCCCAGGGCCCTCCCACCGCAGCTCTGCCCCTCCCCCAGTCCCGCCCACTGCAGCTCTGCCCCTCCCCAGCCCCGCCCACTGCAGTTCTGCACCTCCCCCGGGCCCCACCCACTGCAGCCATGCTGAAGATGGCTAGGGCATGGAGCTCAGGCTGAGCATTGGTCAGAGAGGGAATGGAGGTCCTTTCCCTCTTTCTCTGACCCTGGTTACTGTGTGTAGGGGTAATGGTGTGGGCCCACACCACCCTAACTTCTCCTGACTGTTCAGCACCCCAGGAAGTACCGGGAGCTCAGCCCCTCTCAAGGGCTATACTGCTGCCCACTGGGGCCAGCTTCCAGGAGTAATGACAGAGGGGCCATTGTCTGTACCCTCAGGACGTGGTGCAGACTTGCATTGCACAAGGCAGTTTTACATGTGGGCACAGGGTTGAGAAGCCAGAACAGATGGAGCATGCACACGATGTACACGGCTGCATGGGTCATGTTTGTGTGTGCACACTCAGGACTGCATGTACCTGCAGATGTGTGGGAAGAGGTAGATAACCCCACTATGGGGGTGTTGAGAGGAGGGCCGTTTCAGAGTCCTCTGACAGTGCAGAGAGACCCCCAGGAAACGTGCTGGCCTTCCCCTGCCCCGTGCGTGGTCGAGGCTTCCTATAGCACTGGCCTGCTTATGGTCACCAACACAGCCCATGTGGAGGCAGGGATGACGTTTCTGGACATGGGGTGGCTGTGGCCTGCGGTACCTTGGCAGGCCTTCTCCTGGGCACTGTACGCGTAGCCCTTGTCGCAGAGGCAGGAGTATGAGCCTGGCAGGTTCTTGCAGCGTGCCTCACCACAGGCGTCTGACTCTGCACACTCATCAATATCTGCAAGACAAGCCAGCTGTACAGATGGTGGCCATAGAGAGCAGGGTACAGACTGGACCAAGATGGCTGCAGCTGGCCACTGGGCCCAGACAGAGGGGGGTAGAGAGGAGGAAGAACAAAAGGAGGAGGAAGAAGAAAAGGAGAAGAGAGGAGCCCTGACACCCTTGTTGTGTGCACCAAGGGCCTTGTGAGCTCAGCTTGGTGCAGTGCTAGACAGTGAGTGCCGTCACGCGGGGTCAGTCCAGCGAGGTGTCCTTGCTGCGCTCTGGAAGAGCAGGCCAAGTAGAGTACCCAGTGAAGGCCAAGGGCAAAGCAACAGCTGGAGGAAGCTCCACTCCGGGCACAGAGAGGATGAGGAGAGGAAGGTAGGCCTGCACAGCATCCAGGAACTGGCTCTTGGTCATCAGGAATGGAAACTTCGAGGTGGGTGATGGGATGCTGTCCCCACGTGATAGAGTCCCCTCCAGTCCCTGGTGCCTCTCCTGCCCCATGCCTGTCTGTGACACTCACATAGCTGCTGTACGTGGTGCCCTGGCTGCAGGGCCTCAGGGACACCCTTGGGGAGGCCAGATGCCCCCTCCTGCCAGTGGGTGCCACTCTTGTGCAGCCCACAGCCATGTCAGGGTCTGGGTGGAGGTTACACCTTGGAAGTGGTTTTCTGAGGTTTCCTCAGGGACTCAGTCTGGCTCTATCATCAAGGAGCCCCGACTGAGCAGAAGTGGAAAGAGGTGGTGGGCAGAGCTGAGCAGAGCTGCCCCTGCATTCTCAGGCAGGGTGGAGGGAACCGATCATGAAGGTGTGAAAGAGCCGGTACAGACATGGGGCCCGGGCCTGCATCTTTGCCTGACTTCCCTGAGTGACTTGAAGAGCTTTGCATGCTCGGCAGGCCACAAGGAAGTGTCGCCTTCAGAGCAGGCAATGTATTGTGGAAGGAGGCACTACCTACAGCTGCATCATTAGGCTAGGCTGTCTCCAAAGGACACCCATCCCCTCCCAAGGAAGAGGAAAGGAAGAGAGTGTGAGAAGCATGGACAGGGCCAGCCGGGCCTTACCTTGGCAGGTCCTGCCGTCAGGGGCCAGTGCAAAGCCACTGTGGCAGGTGCAGTAGAAGCTGCCTGGCTTGTTGTGGCAGGCCTGGCTGCAGCCGCCATTCTCCTGGCCGCACTCATCGATGTCTGGACACACAACAGGGAAGGGTTCTGAGGCTTGTGCACATTTCTACTGTAGCCTCCCTCCAAGGCCCACCTGCTGGCCTTGCAGTGGACAAAGGGGACAGCAGAGGGCCAGGGAGGCCTGAGTCCCTGCTGCCAGGGACAGATGCAGGCTCAGTCCCAAGTGTCTCCATACGCACGCAGGTGTGGATGGAAGTTAAGCGGGGCCCCCTGGCCAGCCCAACCACACACACTGCCCAGGAGCCACAACCTCCACAGAGTCTGGCTAGTGTCTGGGCCCTGAGCAGGCCCACCGCAGACCGCCTGCACGGCCCTGCAGCCTCTCTTCTGTAGAGCTCTCTCCTGTGCTGCATGTCTAGTGAATCAGGGCAGAGCCCCCCTTAGGGTGACAAGGCCTGTGGGGCATTTTCTTCACTTTATACCTATTCCCAGCTCAGCCTTTGCTCTGCAACTCTCTCTGGGAGCTTCTGGAAAGCTTCCTGGCTTCGGTACCCCGGGGGAGTGAACAGAACCAGGCCCACAGCAGGAGGCAGTGGGGCAGGCTGCTGAGCCAACTGGGACCGGACCCAGCGTATGAGGGTCAGGAAAGGACAGGGGCGGGGTTAGAGCGCACATCGTACACAGCCACTGCCACCCAGTCCTGAGACTACAGGGGCCTCACCTCTGTCGCAGAGCCGGCCCTCCCAGCCGCTCCTGCACTTGCAGAAGAAGTTGCCCATGAGGTCCTGGCAGACTTCCGTCCCTTCCTCATCACAGGGGTTTGGAGTGCACTGGTCAGGCAAGTCTGAGATGGAAGACACAAAGGGCATCAGAGCTGCTCCCAAGATGCCTGTCAGACCTCTACTGGAGTCCCAGTGAGTGAGTGGTTTGAGACAGATGTCTGTCCACCTCAGGCAAGGAGTCAGCCTGGGCCAGCTCCAGTTCCAAGAGCCCAAGAGCAGCTGGCTTCCCACTCAGCCACGCGGTGGGGAGGCCCATAGGCCCCAGGCTCCCGAGGACAGGCACACGAGGGTCCCGACTAACCACAGGCCCAAGGGCACACCCCACCTCCCCAGCAGGCCTGTGCTGCCCACCCACAGGTCGACAGCCTCGGATGTCCCCCACCCCAAGCACAGTCTTGGTGGAGTCCACACAGCCCGAGACCCCAGGTTCACCGATGGACAAGGAAGGTCATTCAGCAGCCATGCCTACCCCAACACCCCCCAGCATCTCAGCATGAAGGCCTTAGGTCAGTGCACACCAGCTGGCAAAGTAGGGGCAGGGAGCTGGCTGAGCCGTACAACTTCTGCCTACAGTTTAGGACCTATAATTAAATGTCCAACATAGCTGCCCTCCTCTAGAGAGTCTCAACACAGCCAAGAGTTCAAGACCCACAACCCATGCTTCTGGTAGGGGCAGGAAAACACTGCATATGAGTTACAAAGTAGGGTGAATTGCAGAAAAAGCTATTTTTATGGTCAGGGTTCCAAGAATCCTTTTATGGCAGCTGGCTGAGCCCATGTAGGCATGGCCTGGAGTGTTGAAGGTCCAGGACTGTGGCTGTGCTGGCGCGGGGTGTGGGGTCTGTGGCCTGGCTAGGAGGGCTCCTGTTTGCCAGCAGCCAGCCTGGGTGGAAGGGAAAACAGGGAACCTGGGGAGATGTGGAACATACAGGGGAGACACAGAACCCACAGGGAAATGCAGAACCCACGGGGGAGGTGCAGAACACACAGGGGAATGCGGGACACACGGGGGAGATGCAGAACCCACGGGGGAAGATATGGAATACACGGGGAGACACAGAACACACAGGGAAGTCACAACACATGGGAGATGCAGAACACATGGGAGATGTAGAACACGGGGCAGAGGTTCCAGAGATTCCTGCGTAGAACCATTTCCTGGCTTTGACTGAGCATGCTGTTCTGTCACATACGGATACTGAATATTTCATTCCTTGATGCTCTGTGTCCTGTCCTCTCAGGGTATGACTCTATCCCCTCTCGGGTACCAGCTGAGGGTTGTTATGGGGCGTGGAATAGGAGAGAATGACCAGCTTCATTTTCTCATTGTGCTCAAGGTCCATGGCTACCTGAAACCCCCCAAAACCAGAACCAGACAGCCGCCATGCTGGGACCAGGACAGTCGCAGACCCGGACATTTACGTCCTTCAACACCAGCTCAGCTCACAGTGTCCTCGGCCTGGCACCAGGGCCCTGAGGAGCATCTCCTCTGGGTACAGCCACACCAGTTTGCCAAGGACAGGGAAGGCCTCTCCTCCTGCGTGAGACCACACGGGCACACTGAGGATGTGGTGGATGGCACTGCTGCTCCTTCAGGAGGAAGTGAAGACTGGCACTGGCGTATTTTCAATGGTGAGCAGCCACCGTAAACACGGCGTGCGTTTTCTGTGGCTCTCTGAGTGGATGACTCTTAGTATCTTCTCTTCACCTGCTACCACTCCTTCCACTGGAGTCACAGGGAACAGAATAGGACCACAGTGCAAATGGAGCTTGGGAACCAGCAGGCACACTCCTGGGAGAGACCCTAGCAAGACCCCGAGGGTCTACTGGGCACTCACACCAACATGTACTCCGCTCTGAGGAAGACAGGTGCCTGTGGCAAGTTCTCAGCCAGACCTGTCCCAGGTGGGTTCCAGGCTCCTGCACCTCCACGCTGGACAGAGCTGGCTCCCATCATGTATGGGGGAACCCAGTCAGGAGGCTGGAGGCTGCATTCTCTGAGCTCATCCAGGATCTGTGAGGGAAGCAGCGCTGTTGGCAGACTCCACCTGTGCTCAGTCAGGAAACTAAGCAGGCGCCAGGCTTACCAGCAGGCTGGCCAGCCAGTCAGGGCTCCTGGGAACTCCTGGGTGCTCTTGCTTTGCTGCAATTCTTGTTGCTCCCCACAGCATGCCTCAGCCTGACTACAAAACACTTGTCTCGACACTCTTTTGAGACGCTTGCTCCATGGTTTTTGGCTGGCCACTGTGAGTGAGTTTACCCGTGAGCACTGGGTTGGCTGGTAGAGTGCCAGGGCTCGAAGACCAGGGTCAGCGTTTCTCACCATCCACAGCCATTTTGGCCAGCTGATTCCATCCCGGACGCTGGCTTGGCCTCTCTCACACTGCTGTGGTGGTCATGTGACATTTGGGACAGGGTAAAGCCAAGCTCAGGACACCACACATCACCTCGCCACCGGGAGGCAGGGCTGGGGGTAACTGAAGGGCCTGGCTACCCACAACCCCCTCACAGTCCACACCGTGCCCGCCGCAGGAAGAGCCCACTGAACCATGCACACAGTGGAAGGGGTCACGTTGTTCAAGCACACAAGGACATTTAGTGTAACTTGGCCTTGACTTTGGCCTGCACTGTCAGTCACCTCTTAGAAAGTCTGTCCCAAGACCAGGGGCTAACACCGTCCACTAGGGTAGAGCTGCTCCTGACGTCTCACACACCGCGCCAATGGCATGCCTCTTCCTTGCTCTCTAGAGGAACTATTTGCCAGGACCTAGCCATACCCCCTGACCATGGGGGGACAGGTCAGTCAGGACACGGCCATGTCTCCTGACCATGCGGGGGGTGGGCAGGTCAGGACATGGCCATGGCTCCTGACCATGGGGGGGCAGGTCAGTCAGGACACGGCCATGTGGGGGGTGGGAAGGTCAGTCAGGATGCGGCCACGTCTCCTGACCATGTGGGGGGGGCAGATCAGTCAGGACGTGGTCATGTCTCCTAACCATGGGGGGGGGCAGGTCAGTCAGGATGCGACCACATCTCCTGACCATGAGGGACGGGGGGGGCAGGTCAGTCAGGATGTGGCCATGTCTCCTAATCATGTCGGGAGACAGGTCAGTCAGGACATGGCCATCACCTCCACATTGGCACCAGCACTAGCCACTGGCTCCTAGCAGACCTGCGAGGGCCAGCACTTGTATGGGGCTGGACTGGGCTCTGGCAAACTTGGAAGTGGGACCTGTGCGCTATGCTATTGCAACAATAACAGATAACCAAAAGGCTCAAGCTACAATGTGTGTCCGTGGACACAAAATAAGACAATCTGTGAAGGAGCAAGGAGTGAGAGTGGGTGGCCCGGTGGGCTGTGACGGTGTCTCCTAAGGCTCAGCAGGAAGAAGCTTTAGAGGCGGTGAGCGAGTGGCCAGGGCATCTGCTCCACACTAGGTAGTGGCACCCAGCATGTGCCTGTGGTCCCTATGGTGGACAACAGCCAGGCAATTCCAGGCAAGAGGAGCACTGCAGGCCAGACCTGACCAAGGCCCTTGCAGTGGGCTCCCCTGGGCATCCCTGCCCATACCCATCTTCTAGGTGGCACAGGCCCACCCGCTCCACAGAGGCATGGGGGCCAGAGACACACAAGGTATCACTCTAATCCTGTTTGCTACAACAGAAACTAGAAGTAACCTCAAAGTCTGTCAATACACTAGAAATAACCTCAAAGTCTATCAACACACACATATTACACACACCATACACCACACACACACACCACACACACACCATACATATACACCATACACACATACCACATATACCTCACATATACACATACCACATACCATACATACACCCCCACACACATGTACATACATACCATGCACACACCACACATACACACACACACAGGCACACATACCACACATACCATACCATACACACACACACACACACCACACACATCACACACATACCACAAACACCATACATACATACCATATATACCACACACACACCACATACCACACATACACCTCCCACACACACCACATACCACATACACCACACACATACCACACATACATAGGCATACCACACACACAGAGGCTAAGCCAAGTGTCAGGAATGACTAAGATCTCACACAGAATGCACGTGCCCTGGTGGGTGGGGTCTCCAGCCTATGCAGTGACATGGTAAGGGTATGGTGCAGTGAGTCAGAATACAAAGTTTTCCAGACATACCTCCATAGTTCTACATGCAAACAGACAGCTCAGAGCTGTTCACCACAATGATGGATGGATGGTCAAGGTAGAAATGTACTTTCTTTTCACAGCCTTCTGAAAGGTTTAAACTTGGCAACATGTACATCCATTGCTCATTGAGAAAGAAACAAATTACTTTCTTAAAATCAAAGTTCAGCCGGGCACCAGTGGCTCATACATGTAGTCCTAGCTTCTCAGGAGGCTGAGATTGCAGTTTAAAGCCAGCCCAGGCAGGAAAGTCCATGAGAATTTTTTATTTTTATTGTGAAAATACCGTACAGAGGGGTTACAATTACATGGGCAAGGTAATGAGTACATTTCTTTTCTTTTTTTTTTTTGGTCCGGTCGTGGGGCCTGAACTCTGGGCCTGGGTGCTATCCCTCAGCTCTTCAGCTCAAGGCTAGTGCTCTACCACTTGAGCCACAGCTCCACTTTCGGCATTTTTTTCTTTTTGCTTATGTGGTGCTGGGGAATCAAACCCAGGGCCTCATGCATGCAAGGCAAGCGCTCTACCACTGAGCCACCTTCCCAGCCCCATGAGTACATTTCTTATCAAGCATTGTTGCCTCCTCCTTTGTTTCCCCTTCCCATCTCTTCCCATCCCTCCCCCCGCCCCCAGCCAAAATTGTAAAGTTCGTTTTTCGACATAAAGACTTGTACATCTCATTGTTGCAATGGGTCCACCTGAATCCCTATTTAAATGGTTTGGTTTTGCCCTTCCATGAGAGTCTTATCTCCAATAAACTACTCAGAAAAAGCTGGAAGTGGCGCTGTGGCTCAAGTGGTAGAGCACTAGCCTTGAACAGTGAGAGGTTCAGGGACAGACCCCAAGTCCTGAGTTCAAGCCCCAGAACCAGCATAAAAGAAAAGAAAAAGAAAAAGAAAGTTCAGTCAGTAGAAAGGGAGCAGATGTGGGAGGCCAACAATTCCTTGTGGTTACAGAAATATTCACACGCTTTTGCCAATCACAACCAAGAGGACAGCTGCCTGCCAATCACAACCAGGAGGAAAGCTGCCTGCCAATCACAGCCAGGAGAACAGCTGCCTGCCAATCACAGCCAGGAGAACAGCTGCCTGCCAATCACAACCAAGAGGACAGCTGCCTGCAATCACAACCGGAGGACAGCTGCCTGCCAATCACAACCAAGAGGACAGCTGCCTGCCAATCACAGC